AATGTTGATGAAGATAGGGAAGCTGTGATTTCGTGTATAGGGCAAGGAGGAACAACATCTTGTAGGAGTGAGGAAGAGCCAGTTGTGAGTGTGGGGGAAGTTCGTGAGGCAGTAGTAAAATGAAAGGGGGTAAGGCAGCCGGGATTGATGGGATAAAGATAGAAATGTTAAAAGCAGGTGGGGATATAGTTTTGGAGTGGTTGGTGCAATTATTTAATAAATGTATGGAAGAGGGTAAGGTACCTAGGGATTGGCAGAGAGCATGCATAGTTCCTTTGTATAAAAGCAAAGGGGATAAAAGAGAGTGCAAAAATTATAGGGGGATAAGTCTGTTGAGTATACCTGGTAAAGTGTATGGTAGAGTTATTATTGAAAGAATTAAGAGTAAGACGAGAATAGGATAGCAGATGAACAAGGAGGCTTTAGGAAAGGTAGGGGGTGTGTGGACCAGGTGTTTACAGTGAAACATATAAGTGAACAGTATTTAGATAAGGCTAAAGAGGTCTTTGTGGCATTTATGGATTTGGAAAAGGCGTATGACAGGGTGGATAGGGGGGCAATGTGGCAGATGTTGCAGGTGTATGGTGTAGGAGGTAGGTTACTGAAAGCAGTGAAGAGTTTTTACGAGGATAGTGAGGCTCAAGTTAGAGTATGTAGGAAAGAGGGAAATTATTTCCCAGTAAAAGTAGGCCTTAGACAAGGATGTGTGATGTCACTGTGGTTGTTTAATATATTTATAGATGGGGTTGTAAGAGAAGTGAATGCAAGGGTCTTGGCAAGAGGCATGGAGTTAAAAGATAAAGAATCACACACAAAGTGGGAGTTGTCACAGTTGCTCTTTGCTGATGACACTGTGCTCTTGGGAGATTCTGAAGAGAAGTTGCAGAGATTGGTGGATGAATTTGGTAGGGTGTGCAAAAGAAGAAAATTAAAGGTGAATACAGGAAGGAGTAAGGTTATGAGGATAACAAAAAGATTAGGTGATGAAAGATTGGATATCAGATTGGAGGGAGAGAGTATGGAGGAGGTGAATGTATTCAGATATTTGGGAGTGGACGTGTCAGCGGATGGGTCTATGAAAGATGAGGTGAATCATAGAATTGATGAGGGGAAAAGGGTGAGTGGTGCACTTAGGAGTCTGTGGAGACAAAGAACTTTGCCCTTGGAGGCAAAGAGGGGAATGTATGAGAGTATAGTTTTACCAACGCTCATATATGGGTGTGAAGCATGGGTGATGAATGTTGCAGCGAGGAGAAGGCTGGAGGCAGTGGAGATGTCATGTCTGAGGGCAATGTGTGGTGTGAATATAATGCAGAGAATTCGTAGTTTGGAAGTTAGGAGGAGGTGCGGGATTACCAAAACTGTTGTCCAGAGGGCTGAGGAAGGGTTGTTGAGGTGGTTCGGACATGTAGAGAGAATGGAGCGAAACAGAATGACTTCAAGAGTGTATCAGTCTGTAGTGGAAGGAAGGAGGTGTAGGGGTCGGCCTAGGAAAGGTTGGAGGGAGGGGGTAAAGGAGGTTTTGTGTGCGAGGGGCTTGGACTTCCAGCAGGCATGCGTGAGCGTGTTTGATAGAGTGAATGGAGACAAATGGTTTTTAATACTTGACGTGCTGTTGGAGTGTGAGCAAAGTAACATTTATGAAGGGGTTCAGGTAAACCGGCAGGCCGGACTTGAGTCCTGGAGATGGGAAGTACAGTGCCTGCACTCTGAAGGAGGGGTGTAAATGTTGCAGTTTAAAAACTGTAGTGTAAAGCACCCTTCTGGCAAGACAGTGATGGAGTGAATGATGGTGAAAGTTTTTCTTTTTTGGGCCACCCTGCCTTGGTGGGAATCGGCCAGTGTGATAATAAAAAATAAAAAAAAATAATAATAAAAATATTATAAGGTAAAAGTTTCACAAACTCTTACAAATGTACATGAATGAACTAAAACTGGACACGTATTAATACCGTCTATTTCGCCTGACCGAGTGATCTTCCACAACCTGTTCAGTTTGTTTGTTTGTTTACGCTGTCTGAGCTCGGTGTATCATTAAATGTTGTATATTACGTTAATATACACATTTTCATTAATCCATCCGTGATATTTTTTTCAAAATTATATAATAAACACGATACATAACATAAATATATAACATATGTGTAGAGAACCTAGGATAACCCAAAAAAGTCAGAGTGACTTACTTCCATTGCCTTCACTCAGAGCATCATTTCTTCTCAAAATGATTTTACATGAGAATGGGAGTGTTCTTCTTTATTTATTCTACCGTATCAATGTAGAGACAACATGTACACAATGTAACTTGTACACAAACCAGACGTGTACACTTCGTTTGTTTACAAAACTTACGTTCGCCTGGTTTGTTTACATAACTCTGCGCCTGTCCTATCTCATGCACTCATTCTTTCTCTCTGGTATTGTAGCCTGGCTGACTACCATACATGCCACACTTGATTTTTTACAATAAATACTACTCATCTCACCCTATATTTTAAGGTAAGTAATGAGTGAACTGTATATACATTTTATCGCTCTGGGATGCTTAAATATCATAGAATAATATGTGTGGGTGGGGTGACCTGGTATGGTAGCCTGGCTGACTACCATACATACCACACTTGATTTCTTACAATAAACACTGCTTGTCTCACCCTAGATTAAGACTATAAATATTTTAAGGTAAGTAATGAGTGCACTATGTGTGTATTGTACTTTTTTATTGTTTTTTTGATGCCTGGTTCTATTGCTAACATAATATATGTTAGTGTAAACTTGTTATCTAGTGTTTGTATGCATTTGTAAGTGGAAAAAAAGGGTGTTCCACTTTACGGCAGTTTCCGCTTTATGGCGGTAGCCTGGAACCTAACCCGCCGTATAAGTGGGGCCCTCCTGTATATATAATATATATAATATATATATATAATATATATATATTTATATATATATATAATATATATTTATATATATATATATATATATATATATACACACATACATATATATACATATACACACCTACCATCCAACTTACGACCAAGCTTAGTTCCGACCAACCGGTCGTAAGTCGAAATGGACGTAAGTCGAACCTTTGAAAATTGCCGACATTGCCGACATACTGGGTAGTACATAATGTCAAACTTTTCCTATATAAACTACCTACATAGTACTGTAATGTAATGTACAATCATTATTTCATTTTTTTTACCATAATTTACTTCTATTGTTATATTTTAATTATTTATTTACTGTATATAATGTATACATGGTAGTGAACTGTATTGTAAATTTTACATTGCATACAGTATCATGTGTTACTGTTATCTTTATGTATTGTCGACACTGGAATGGGAGAATACCACTGGTAGTGTCACCGTGCCAGAATGTAGTATAACCTATACCCTAAGTAAAGAGAAACGACTCTGGAACGTGTAATACGTATCCGGCTGGCCGGGTGGGTGATTGGCTGACTGAATGTGTGTCTGTGTGTCTGTCTCTCTCTGTCTGTCTGTCTCTGTCTCTCTCTCTGTCTGTCTCTGTCTCCTGTCTGTCTCTCTCTCTCTCTGTCTGTCTGTCTCTCTGTCTGTCTGTCTGTCTCTCTCTCTCTCTCTCTCTCTCTCTCTCTCTCTCTCTCTCTCTCTCTCTCTCTCTCTCTCTCTGTGAGGTGCACGTAAGTAATCATACATAGTATAAATTACCTAGGATAACCCAAATAATCCAGACAAAGTGCTATTCAGTGGATCTGTGCTCCAGTGCCCTAAATTAATAATAATAATAATAATTATTATTATTATTACAATAATACATATATATTAATATTATTAAACTATAATATAATAATCGTGTCCACTCATTACTTACCTTAAAGTATCTGTAGTCTTAATGTAGAGTGAGAGGTGAGTAAACAAGATTAAATGAATAAACGGATGAGTGTGTAGAAGGTTGGCGAGTTATGTAAACAAACGTTGTTGTTACCAGCTAACACGAAAGATTCCTGTTCACTCTGTCAAGCCAACCAGAAAAACATCTCATATTTGTTAATTTATATGTTTATATGTTATGTAGCATGTTTATTATATAATTTTGAAAAAGAAATCATAGATGGATTAAGCAAAATGTCTATATCAACGTTTTATACACATTTAATGCACCTCAGTGATTATTGTGTTCTTATCATTATTAATATGGCATCTTCGAGACCAATTACATGCTTAATGAGGCAGTGGAGATGTCTTGTCTGAGGGCAATGTGTGGTGTGAATTTAAAGCAGAGAATCCGTAGTTTGGAGATTAGGAGGAGGTGCAGGATTACCAAAACTTACCCAGAGGGCTGAGGAGGGGTTATTGAGGTGGTTCTGACATGTTGAGAGGATGAAACAAAATAGAATGACTTTTAGAGTGTATAAATCTGTTGTGGAGGAAAGGTTGGAGGGAGGGGGTAAAGGTTTTGTGTGCGAGGGGCTTGGACTTCCAGGAAGCATGCGTGAGCATGTTAGATAGTGAATGGAGACAAATGGTTTTTAGGACTGGACATGCTGTTGGAGTGTGAGCAGGGTAACATTTATGTAGGGATTTGGGGAAACCAGGAGGCCGGACTTGAGTTCTGGAGATGGAAAGTACACTGCCTGCACTCTGAAGTGGGTGTTCATGTTGCAGTTTTATGACTGTAGTATAAGCATGCCTCTGGCAACACAGTAATGGAGTGAATGATGAAAGTTTTTCATTTTCGGGCCACCCTGCCTAGGTGAGAAACGGCTGATGTGTTAGTAAAAACATTTAATAAAAAATGTACCTTGTGTTTAATAAAGACATTTTGTGATAATACACTAATTCACTTAAGGATAAATATTGATACACTAATTCACTTAAGGATAAATATTGATACACTAATTCACTTAAGGATAAATATTGTGCCAAGGAAGGACATCATGCAGTTAGTGTCTTATAACCAGTTGTCATTATGCCTTCAGTTTGCACCAGTAGCTGTTTTTATTTTGCTAGAGATGCTGTGAGTGATTTGGCTCTTCATCTTCTGGCCAAGCAAAAAATAATGGTTGTGAAAGACATAGAACGTGAGGATATAGAGTTTGTTTGTAAAACTCTAGGATGCCGACCAGTTGCTTCTTTGGATCATTTTACGCCAGAGTCCTTGGGTACAGCTGAACTGGCAGAAGAAATTCAAACTGGTAGCAGCAAATTTGTGAAAGTTACAGGAGTGCAGAACACAGGAAGAACTGTATCAATATTGCTGAGAGGTAGCAATAAGCAGGTAAGAATTTTTTTTTAGGGGGGGTAAATAATGACAAGGAATTCTTATGTTCATTACCTGAGTATTTTGAAAATAGCCATTTTATTCAAGGGTGACCTACTGGAGATATTCATTGGGCCCAGCTGGTTGTAACTTGTATTTTATAGAGAAACTGAAAATTGGTATAGATACAAATATTAAACAAATCAAGGATTACCTTGGCATTTTAAAATGTTGATAAAATGTTAATGCAAATAATAAAAGGATGCTGAACAATTACTAGAAGTTGTCTTACATATTCCTCTTAATGAATCTTATTAAATGTACTTTATAGTATTAGATTTTTATTTTACATTTAAGGTTTTGGAGGAAGCTGACAGATCACTTCATGATGCACTTTGTGTGATTCGCTGCTTAGTTAAAAAGAGGTTCCTCATTCCTGGTGGTGGAGCGCCTGAGGCAGAGTTGTCTGTCAAGTTAACACAGTATGCACACACACTGAAAGGCATGGATGCATACTGCTTCCGGTAAGGATTTGACAAATGCATTTACTTAAATTGAGATAAAAAAAAAATATTAAATGGCTGCAATTGGCAGGTGACCTTGTCCATGACTTGCATATCTCCAGATAATAACAGTAAAAGCTAATGACATGCAAGTGTTCAGAAGTAAAGACAATAGGAGTTCATTCATGTCTTGTAAGTGTAAAGGATAACAGGGAGGTCTAAAGCCTAAAGTTCACCTCCCAATGAACTTAAGTGTCATATATGAGTGCCTCTGCAAAGACTGATTATGTATGAATGATGATGAAAGTTTTTTCTCCCTTTTTAGGTTTTACTTTCTTTTTGGGTCACCCTTCCTCGGGAAACGGCTGACTTGTTAAAAAAAAAAATTCCGTATATACTGCATATCAAGCCAAAAATGATTACCCAATTAAGTTCATAGGGAGATGAACTAAGGCTTTGAACCTGCCTGTTATCCTTCACACTAACAAGACATGAATAAACTACTGTCTTTACTTTTAAACACTTGCATGGCATTAACTTTTACTGTACGTGTATTATCTAGTTCATTTCACTTTATTCTAATATCGAAGTGTTTACTAATGTGTGTGCTTTAGTTTTGTGTACCTTTTCCATGTGTCCTGTCTCAAAGGAGTGTTATCTATCCTGGTGAGGGACTCTTGATCTAAGCAAGTGAAGTGAATCTATCCTTCCTTACCTTGGATTGAGCTTGATTGTGTATCATTCACCAGTGCTGTATAACCTATAAAGGTTTAGTGCTTTCCCATATGTATACATCTTTGTGGATCCCTTGTTGGTAAAGTGCCTCTTCTTGCCAATCTTTTGAGTGCCTAAAGCACAATTTATATTAAATGATTGGTCTCCAGGTGGCAGTCTGCATACTAAATAATTATTTAACATGCAGTGGTGCCAGGTGGCCGTCTGTATATTAAATAATTGGTCTTAAGGTGGCAGTCTGCATATTAAATAATTGGTCTCCATGTGGCAATCTGTATATTAAATGTTTTTTAGGTGAAGGTAGTTTTTTGTGAGTTTATACATTTCTGAAGCTCTGTCTTATGTTTGCCACTCTAATGTGTGTTGATGTTATGTTCATGATGTCTGTGTTTTTGGAGACAATGGCAGTGTCGGCATCGTGTTTGATAGTGTTGGTTGATCTAATAACTTGTGTCATGCATCGTCTCCTCAGTTTATAGTGCTCATGGTACAGAAGTTGGTGGTGCCTGGAATCTTCAGTTAATAAACAAACAAGAACTATCAAACATAACAAGGGATTGTAAATGGTATGGTGTTATTTAAAAGCTGTGGAAAAGATACTTGTACAGTTTCTGGCTCTGCTTATTTTTGCTTTCTGGTGTACGGCTTGCTTAGGAAAGTGAAAAATGGTGTATTTAATGAAGTACGTAACTGTTTGTTCAATTGCAGAGCCTTTGCTGAATCACTGGAGGTAATCCCAGGTATATTGGCTGAAAATGCTGGTCTTAGCCCCATCTCAACAGTTACTGAGCTGCGTAACAGACATGCTCGTGGGGAAACGCATGCTGGAATCAATGTTCGCAAGGTAGGAAATCTATTTGTAAAAGTGCTAGAGGTTAATGAGCAACTTTTGAGAATAAGTCATATGGTAGTACTGGTCATCGCAATGTGAATTATGATGCCAGTAATGCAGCTGGAAAGTTTTCATGTATTTTATGCGTTTTGTTTAATGTAATAAAAAGTCAGAATATGTTTAATAATACCCTCCTCTGAGAGGAGGCAGTGCATACAGCTTTATGAAGTGGCACTGCAGTAAACCCTGTGGTGCCTTCAAGCTAACATTTTATTATCCTGTGCATATGTTGAATTATATACTTGGTCTGCATGACTGATGCGGATTGTGATAAAGAAAATGTGAACAGATTATTGGTTACAAATGCAAGAGTGTAGGACTTAAAACTGTAAATGTGCATTATTTTGTTTCATGTTTGCATAGAATTCCATAGAATTGCATAGAATGTACAGCATGTTCACATTATCGAAAACCTAAAAGGCAATTACTCAGTTTCATCTGGAGACTAAAAGAGAGGTTAAAAGAGTATTAAGGAAGTAAAAGGAGGGCAAATGAGAGAGTGATATTAGTAAATTGAGAAGGCCTAGGAAATGAATGACTTTAAGTTAAAAACATAAGAGGGGAGTTATTAGATGGAGTGAATATTTTTAGATATTAAATGTTGATGAAGAGAGGCAGTGATTTCATGTATTGCCTAGGGAATTGTAACATTTTTTAGGAGTGAGGAAGAGCCAGATGTGAGTGTGGGGGAGGTGTATGAGGCAGTGGGTAAAATGAAAGGGGGTAAAGTAGCTGGGATTGATGGGTTAAGACAGAAATGTTAACAGCAGGTAGGGATGTAATTTTGGAGTGTTCGTAAATATATGAAAGGAATGAAGGTACCTAGAGATTGGCAGAGTTCATAGTTCCTCTGTATAAAAGAAATGGGAACAAAAGACTGTTAAGAATTATAGAGGAATAAGCCTGTCGAGTTTACCAGGAAAAGTGTATGGTATAATTATTATTAACCCTTTGACTGTCGCAACCACCAATCCTGAGGTGTCTCCTGGTGTCGCAAAATTTAAAAAAAAAAAAAAAATTCTTATGAAATGATAGAGAATCTTTTCCCGATTGTAATGACACCAAAAAAACGAAATTTTATGAAAACTGACGGAATTATGCTCTCGCGAAGTTAGCGACCTCGGCGCTGTTTACAAATCGGCGATTTCGCCCACTTTGAGCCCTATTTTCGGCTAATTCCATTGTTCCAGTTGCCCAAACTCATAGCTATTTCTTTAGAACTCCATTTTTTCTATCGATTGAGTACAAGAAACTGTCTATTTACCGATATCAACTACCTAATAATGTGGTCAGAAATTTGCAATTTGGCCAATTTCACAAAAACTAAAAAATATGACAATTTCAAAATAAGGTCCAGAATGAACAATGCAGACATTCCTAGCTCTAAAATAACATTTTCTTTGCTCATCAGTCATGTCTCCAGGCCCCTCTGATATTACTCTTGCTTTCTATTTTGAATTTTTATTCAAACAAAAAATAGAAGACTTACTATTATGCAGACTACTGCAATACTGTAATAATTGTATAAATAACATCAACCCATTCATGACTGCATACTAGAATGGCTAGTTGGACATTTATTGGACAATGGCATCATTTGTTTACTTTTGAACATTGGCAAAAATCAAACATTTCCCCTACTTTGAGCTCCATTTCTAGGCTCTTTTTATAGTAAAATCAATTAAAATCACCTCTATTTCTGTAATACGTTTTCCATTCTATCAAATGAGACCAAGAAAACGAGAATACAACCATAAATACTATACGAAAATAGACCACAAAGTCGGCATTTTAATTAAAAAAAACCGTCGGAGTTTTTTTTTTCTCATTATGCACTGCGTGCTCCAGGATTTTTTTTATATGGTGCACACTGACCACACAGACCCATTCTCTCACATGTGGGCCTACCAGCTTTCTCCTGCTTGATTTGAAGCCGCTAGAATTTATGAGTACAGGAGGGCCCCAATTATACGGCTGGTTAGGTTCCAGGCTACCGCCGTAAAGAGGAAACCGCCGTAAAGTGGAACACCCTTTTTTTCCACTTACAAATACATACAAACACTAGATAACAAGTTTACACTAACATATATTAAGTTAGCAACAGAACCAGGCATCAAAAAACAATAAAAAAGTACAATACACACATAGTGCACTCATTACTTACCTTAAAATATTTATAGTCTTAATCTAGGGTGAGACAAGTAGTATTTATTGTAAGAAATCAAGTGTGGTATGTATGGTAGTCAGCCAGGCTACCATACCAGGCCACCCCACCCACACATACAATTCTATGATATTTGAGCATCCCAGAGCGATAAAATGTATATACAGTTCACTCATTACTTACCTTAAAATATAGGGTGAGATGAGTAGTATTTATTGTAAAAAATCAAGTGTGGTATGTATGGTAGTCAGCCGGGCTACCATACCAGGCCAACCCACCTATGGAAAATTTTCTAGGGTGCTTATCGGTATGTACCTCAACATTATATACATACAAGTAATCTCATTGGGAGACAACCATATTGTTTACCGTAGTCACCCCGTGTAGACATGTGAGAAAACTTAACCACCTCTGGTCACTACAGGTGGCCCCTTCGACCTCACAATCTTATCCATATCTATCCGAGACCAGTATGGATTGGATAGCACCCACAAGTACGGTGCTACTAATTAATTGTGGACTGTATATATTATATTAGTTTAGCTGAATGAAGGGGGGGGGGGGGGTAGGATACACACATGGATACATCCATCAAGGAAAAACATTTGTACATAATCCCACCACTTACCAGATGTTCTCTGGTGGTCACTTGATGTAGCTGGATCACTCATAACCTATCCAATTACAACATAACCTAACTGGCCAGCATGAGTCTGTTATAACTAGAAGGGTTACTTAACTGTGGGTGATTGATACTCCTTATTTCCTCCATTCACCATCTCATTTCGATGTCCTGCTACACCGACACGGTTCTCATTCCGGCAGCACGAGGTATCCGTCGGTTTGTTCCGGTTTAGAAGTCGTGATTCCATAAATCTTCATTATCCCCGGTACGAGAGTCACACGTTCACTTGGAGCAGGGCGCTCTATTTCACATCCCGCATTCTCTTAACTCAATGTTATTATCACTGATTACATTACCATTCACAAGACGATTTAACGTCTCATAACTATTATACAAATTAGAGGTCACTCCATTAAGATCTGAGGCCGATGAGCGAGGATTAACACACGGGTATTTCCCCTGGACACACACCATGGCCTTGCACCTGCCACCCGCTCGAACATTATTCACTAATTTTACCACCCCTTTACGGTGGTCTCGTAAATCACGTTCCCTCACTCTTCACTAGGGACAGTCACGACACTTCCTATTATGAATTGAGGCCTATATTGATCCTTAGGCCCCCGTGAACGCCAGTTTCCTCATTCCCGGTTTTCTCAGCCTCCTCACCCATTCAAAACACTCCCGCCACCTGCCTCCCCCAGCTCGACCCCCCACCCCCCTGCACATCTGCGCAGGCGCAGCGGGAACCCAGCTGATTTCATTAAAAATGCAAATACATTTTGACCCAAATCAGCACATTAAACACTTATTAGACACTATAGCTTCGGAAATTAAATAATTTCCACATCACCTACACATAATATTCTATTACATTTAAGCATCCCAGAGCGATAAAATGTATAAACAGTTCGCTCATTACTTACCTTAAAATATTTGTAGTCTTAATGTAGGGTCAGGAGTAAGTAAATGAGATAAAACGAATAAATGAGAGAGAGAAAGAATGAGTGCATGAGAGAGGACAGGCGCAGAGTTATGTAAACAAACCAGGCGAAGGTAAGTTTTGTAAACGAAGTGTACACGTCTGGTTTGTGTACAAGTTACATTGTGTACAGGTTGTCTCTACATTGATGCGGTAGAATAAATAAAGAAGAACACTCCCATGCTCATGTAACATCATTTTGAGAAGAAATGATGCTCTGAGTGAAGGCAATGGAAATAAGTCACTCTGACTTTTTTGGGTTATCCTAGGTTCTTTACACATATGTTGTTATGTATGATAATCTATGTAACTGTATTTGTGTATACCTGAATAAACTTACTTACATACATGCGAAAGGAATAATTTTCTACAGTTACCCCCAGTAACACATTTTCTCTTATGTTAGATTAGAGAAAATGTTATTCTTGGCATCACTTGTACAAGTTATCTGGCTACCACATCTCATATTTATGTTTATTTATTCTATTGTAGGGTGTATTTATCATCTTTTTATGTTATGTATCGTGTTTATTATATAATTTTGAAAAAAATATCATGGATGGATTAATGAAAATGTGTATATTAACGTAATATACAACATTTAATGAGACTTGGTGATTATTATTATTATTATTATTATTAGCATTTCTAATATGGCGTCACTTGTGCAAGTCGTCTGCTACCACATCTCATATTTATGTTTATTTATTCTATTGTGGGGTGTATTTATCATCTTTTTATGTTATGTATCGTGTTTATTATATAATTTTGAAAAAATATCATAGATGGATTAATGAAAATGTGTATTTAACGTAATATACGACATTTAAATGAGACTCGATGATTATTATTATCATTACTAATATGACGTCTGGAGACATAAGACACTCTTACTGATTTTAATGTGTACCTGCATGCCAGCACAGTATGTAAGTTTATTTAAGTACAGGTATACATAAGTATAATTATCAGAGTATATATAAAATATGAAATAACTTTTAAAAACATTTGAAATTTTGGAGTTTCCAGACAAAATGGAGAGACTTAGTGCTTACTGAGCTCACGAAGAATGTAAACAAACAAGGTGGGGCGCGGTGACCGTATTAGAAAGTCAGGTGGGGGGAGCCGTATAGCGAGTTTTGGTCATAATTTGAAATGACCGTATTAGCGGAATGCCATAAAGTGAAACGCCGTAAAGCGGGGCCCTGCTGTATATACATGTATACGTCAAACACGGTACCTCATAAGACGTATATATACGGCCGCGACAGTCAAAGGGTTAAAAGAGTTAAGGGTAAGACAGATCAGGATCACAGATGAGCAAGGTTGTTTTAGGAAGGGTAAGGGATGTGTAGACAAGCATTTACACTGAAGCATGTAAGTGAATGATATTTAGATAAGGGCAAGGAAGTCTTCGTTGCATATTTTAAATTAGAAAAGGCACATGATAGGATGGATAGGAAAGCAATGTGATGGATGTTGCAAGTGTATGGAATAGGTGTTAGGTTACTTAAAGCAATCAAGAGTTTTTTAGGGATGCATGCTGTCACCATGGTTGATTAACATATTTATAGATGGGGTTGCAAACGAAGTGAAGAAGTGAATGCTAGGGTATTGGGGAGAGGTGTGGGATTGAAAGATAAAGAATCTAATACAAAGTGGGAGGTGTCACAGCTGCTTTTTGCTGATGACAAGGTGTTTTTGGATGATTGTGAGGTGAAGTTGCCAAAGTTGGATGAATTGGGAGGGTTTGTAAAGAAGAAAATTTAAAGGGGACATAAGAAAGAACAGGGTGATGAGGGTAACAAAAAAAAATTAGGTAATGAAAGATTGGATACCAAATTGGAAGGAAGGAGTATGGAGAAAGTGATGTGTCCAGATATTTTAATAAATTAATCATAATGGCAGCAAGTTCGGTAATTAAAAATTAAGATGCTGTAGTGGAAAATTGGTAATGGCAGCAAATTAATAATGTTAGCAACTTTATGGTAAAGTAAATAAATAAACCCAATAGCTTGTGCTATGAAAATCATGCAACTGAAACATTTGGTTTCCTCAGTGTACCGTGTTCAGTAGGTCTAGACTAATATTAATGACACTGGTAATTATTACTCCATTTCTACTAATGTATCATTTTTGTTTTTGTAGGGAAGTATCAGCAACATCATTGAAGAAAATGTACTGCAGCCCCTCTTAGTTTCTACCTCAGCCATAACACTTGCTGCCGAGTGTGTTCGCTCAATCCTCAAGATTGATGATATTGTGAGTAATTTTGCATGTCTCTTGACAAATATTAACACCTATCATTAGCAGAATGTTTAGGGTAGGCTTCTCAGAGCTCACTGATTCAGAAAAAGCATGAATTTGATGCTGAAGCTATTTTGAAAAGTTGATATTTTATCACATGAGTTTATAAAGCTCTTCAGGCATTATATACTCAAACACTACTTGCCTGTTTGTGGCTGCAGAGGTTGATTCTCAGATGCTGGCCTCACCTCTTCTATTTTACCACTCTCTGTATTCACTCCCTTGTAGCTTTGTGGGCTTTGTTCCTGCTCTTGGTTATGTATGGAACCTGCCTCAACCACTTTCAAGATTATTCCACTTCCCAGCCCCCCATAAGACTGAAGAAATACTTCCTAACATCCCTGTAACTCAACTGTCTTGAACTTCAAGCTGTGTCCGAGTTCCCATTTCTTGCCTCAAACAGCATATCCCTGTCTACCTTATCAGTCTCCCTGAATATTTTATATATATTGACCCCCACCCCTTCCTTCTGGGTTCTTCTGTCCTACAATGTCATAAGATTTGATTCCATTAGCCTTTTCCTGTAGCTCATGCCCCTTAGCTCAAACAAACCTTTTTGCATACTTTTGCATTTTGTCCACTTTCTTAATTAACATACGTTCTCAGGTGTGGGTTCCACAATGGTGTTGCAAACACCTAGATGGGTTTGATGTGTATGTTGTATTGTTGATATTCCTGAAGATTACTTGTAGATATGTCAGATGAGCATTGGCTGCATAGGCATAGTCCAGATGGAATGTATCAAAGAAATGTTGTGGTATGGTTCTGCTAATCAAGACCTGAGAAAGGAAATAGTAATCTCAAGCTTACACCTTTGCTGATTACATATTTGAACAGCTAACCACTGAAAGTGTCAAGGTACTTGGTTATCATATACAACCTGAATCTAAATAAGAACATACAAGGTAAGAATTTGATGCATCAACCAGGATTATACTAAAGCTCTTAAGAGATTAAACCATGTAAATATACATGGGGAGAACTTGAGCACTAGTTATGGAGATCCAAGTTATTTGACTCTGCATTAAAAAAAAAACTAAAGGATGAACCTTCAAGAAATTCAGCAGTGTAAATAAAACTTAAAACATATAAAATAAATGGGTTGCGGATTTTCTCGAGCAAATTACCAGTGCATACTGACTTGCTGCAACCTTGTAGAAATGGAGCTGAAATATAGGGGGCAGACAGCAGTTCCAGTACTCAAGGAATGCAATTATCTACAAGGTCAACAGGCAAGCCACCTTAGAAAATTGAGCTTTTCACCCTGAAATGCAGGAAAGTAAAGAAATTTGTACCTGCCTGTAGGAAAATAAACTAGATTTTGTGAAAGCATTTGAATCTAATGTTAGTGAAAATCTGAACAAAAATTACATTATTTTTATTATTATTTTTATTATCACACTGGCCGATTCCCACCAAGGCAGGGTGGCCCGAAAAAGAAAAACTTTCACCATCATTCACTCCATCACTGTCTTGCCAGAAGGGTGCTTTACACTACAGTTTTTAAACTGCAACATTAACACCCCTCCTTCAGAGTGCAGGCACTGTACTTCCCATCTCCAGGACTCAAGTCCGGCCTGCCGGTTTCCCTGAATCCCTTCATAAATGTTACTTTGCTCACACTCCAACAGCACGTCAAGTATTAAAAACCATTTGTCTCCATTCACTCCTATCAAACACGCTCACGCATGCCTGCTGGAAGTCCAAGCCCCTCGCACACAAAACCTCCTTTACCCCCTCCCTCCAACCTTCCCTAGGCCGACCCCTACCCGCCTTCCTTCCACTACAGACTGATACACTCTTGAAGTCATTGTTTCGCTCCATTCTCTCTACATGTCCGAACCACCTCAACAACCTTCCTCAGCCCTCTGGACAACAGTTTTGGTAATCCTGCACCTCTCCTAACTTCCAAACTACGAATTCTCTGCATTATATTCACACCACACATTGCCCTCAGACATGACATCTCCACTGCCTCCAGCCTTCTCCTCGCTGCAACATTCATCACCCACGCTTCACACCCATATAAGAGCGTTGGTAAAAACTATACTCTCATACATTCCCCTCTTTGCCTCCAAGGACAAAGTTCTTTGTCTCCACAGACTCCTAAGTGCACCACTCACTTTTTTCCTCATCAATTCTATGATTCACCTCATCTTTCATAGACCCATCCGCTGACACGTCCACTCCCAAATATCTGAATACGTTCACCTCCTCCATACTCTCTCCCTCCAATTGATATTCAATCTTTCATCACCTAATCTTTTTGTTATCCTCATAACCTTACTCTTTCCTGTATTCACCTTTAATTTTCTTCTTTTGCACACCCTACCAAATTCATCCACCAATCTCTGCAACTTCTCTTCAGAATCTCCCAAGAGCACAGTGTCATCAGCAAAGAGCAGCTGTGAAACTCCCACTTTGTGTGTGATTCTTTATCTTTTAACTCCACGCCTCTTGCCAAGACCCTCGCATTTACTTCTCTTACAAACCCCCTCTATAAATATATTAAACAACCACGGTGACATCACACATCCTTGTCTAAGGCCTACTTTTACTGGGAAAAAATTTCCCTCTTTCCTACATACTCTAACTTGAGCCTCACTATCCTCGTAAAAAACTCTTCACTGCTTTCAGTAACCTACCTCCTACACCATACACTTGCAACATCTGCCACATTGCCCCCTATCCACCCTGTCATACGCCTTTTCCAAATCCATAAATGCCACAAAGACCTCTTTAGCCTTATCTAAATACTGTTCACTTATATGTTTCACTGTAAACACCTGGTCCACACACCCCCTACCTTTCCTAAAGCCCCCTTGTTCATCTGCTATCCTATTCTCCGTCTTACTCTTAATTCTTTCAATTATAACTCTACCATACACTTTACCAGGTACACTCAACAGACTTATCCCCCTATAATTTTTGCACTCTCTTTTATCCCCTTTGCCTTTATACAAAGGAACTATGCATGCTCTATGCCAATCCCTAGGTACCTTACCCTCTTCCATACATTTATTAAATAATTGCACCAACCACTCCAAAAACTATATCCCCACCTGCTTTTAACATTTCTATCTTTATCCCATCAATCCCGGCTGCCTTACCCCCTTTCATTTTACCTACTGCCTCACGAACTTCCCCACACTCACAACTGGCTCTTCCTCACTCCTACAAGATGTTATTCCTCCTTGCCCTATACACGAAATCACAGCTTCCCTATCTTCATCAACATTTAACAATTCCTCAAAATATTCCCTCCATCTTCCCAATACCTCTAACTCTCCATTTAATAACTCTCTCTCCTATTTTTAACTGACAAATCCATTTGTTCTCTAGGCTTTCTTAACTTGTTAATCTCACTCCAAAACTTTTTCTTATTTTCAACAAAATTTGTTGATAACATCTCACCCACTCTCTCATTTGCTCTCTTTTTACATTGCTTCACCACTCTCTTAACTTCTCTCTTTTTCTCCATATACTCTTCCCTCCTTGCATCACTTCTACTTTGTAAAAACTTCTCATATGCTAACTTTTTCTCCCTTACTACTCTCTTTACATCATCATTCCACCAATCGCTCCTCTTCCCTCCTGCACCCACTTTCCTGTAACCACAAACTTCTGCTGAACACTCTAACACTACATTTTTAAACCTACCCCATACCTCTTCGACCCCATTGCCTATGCTCTCATTAGCCCATCTATCCTCCATAGCTGTTTATATCTTACCCTAACTGCCTCCTCTTTTAGTTTATAAACCTTCACCTCTCTCTTCCCTGATGCTTCTATTCTCCTTGTATCCCATCTACCTTTTACTCTCAGTGTAGCTACAACTAGAAAGTGATCTGATATATCTGTGGCCCCTCTATAAACATGTACATCCTGAAGTCTACTCAACAGTCTTTTATCTACCAATACATAATCCAACAAACTACTGTCATTTCGCCCTACATCATATCGTGTATACTTATTTATCCTCTTTTTCTTAAAATATGTATTACCTATAACTAAACCCCTTTCTATACAAAGTTCAATCAAAGGGCTCCCATTATCATTTACACCTGGCACCCAAACTTACCTACCACACCCTCTCTAAAAGTTTCTCCTACTTTAGCATTCAAGTCCCCTACCACAATTACTCTCTCACTTGGTTCAAAGGCTCCTATACATTCACTTAACATCTCCCAAAATCTCTCTCTCTCCTCTGCATTCCTCTCTTCTCCAGGTGCATACACGCTTATTATGACCCACTTCTCGCATCCAACCTTTACTTTAATCCACATAATTCTTGAATTTACACATTCATATTCTCTTTTCTCCTTCCATAACTGATCATTTAACATTACTGCTACCCCTTCCTTTGCTCTAACTCTCTCAGATACTCCAGATTTAATCCCATTTATTTCCCCCCACTGAAACTCTCCTACCCCCTTCAGCTTTGTTTCGCTTAGGGCCAGGACATCCAACTTCTTTTCATTCATAACATCAGCAATCATCTGTTTCTTGTCATCCGCACTACATCCACGCACATTTAAGCAACCCAGTTTTATAAAGTTTTTCTTCTTCTCTTGTACCAAAAAACAGGAGAAAAGGACATGAAAATGGATATACTAAAGGAAGAAGGTTGCTACTCGAGACGCATCAGGTACTGATAAGCAAGAGCAAAACTGGACTTCTCAGACAATAATAGACATACCTGGCGCATATAAAAAGATTCCAATGCCTTTTTAGCTGAACGAGATGAAAAGTGAAGAATCAGTAAGGCACATAGGTGGCAGGGACCCCTGACAAAACAGTTAATAAAGAGATTAAAAGCCGAGCTGGGCCTTGTGCAAGCTACTATAGTTGTCAGATGCCTGGAGACAGGAGACCCTAAACTACCGACCTACATCCCTCATAAATATGCACTGAAAAAAGAAAAGGCTTATATTGCTTGCATGTTTAATGTAAAT